GTGTCAAGACTAGACAAGTTGTATTTCGATTGGTGGATAATTAAAGTGATAAAAAGCTGGACATAAAATTATAATAGATTGGCACCGGCCCTTTCTTAATTCATAACAGAAATATTTTCTGTTATGTGGTTAGTAGTGAACTTCATGATAATATAGGTTTCGTTTTATTTGATTAATTGTTAGCTGGATATATCTGGATTTTAGGTTTAATGCTAATCAAACTAATAGTTGAATCCAGTACGTTTTGATTTGAACATTAAAGCGTTATGTATTGAGGTGGTGAGTCTAGCTAAGATGGCCACTAAACTTGAAATGAACGAAAAACTTGTGAATAAAAGCTATATTGAAGCAATCCTCGAAAGATTGTATAGAATGAAGTCAAATACTGATCAATTGCAGTTCTGAATATCTACATTGGGATTTGCTTTGACAATTTCAACTTTCGGTGCTAATAGGATATGATATGTTGAACCGATGTATATATGTACAGATTCTACGTTGTAACTAACTGACTGACTGAATATCTACAATCGAAAATCACAGATCCTTACTAATCTTTTTTAAATAGCAAATGTCACAAAAACTAAGTGTATTTTTGCATTAAGCATTAGATCAGTAGAGTAAATCTCAGTAACTGAAGAGATAGAAACCAGTTAAAGGTTACTGAATAAAAGATTATACATTAATCTTGACTGAAGAGTCCACCAAAAAACCATTGAAAACTGGTGAGCAGCTATTTTATGGTATTTTAACAATACACTTCAAAAGATCATCAGGAGAGATGATTGAAAGACATAATAAAATATATAAATCTATCTAACTTATAGTCGAAACTAGGGGGCGTCTGGCCAACCAGCACGAAAAACAAGACCCACATTTCCTGTTGGCTACTTTCAATCATTACCTAACGTTAAAACAGCGTTAAATCATATACATAATTGGTCACATCTCAACCTGGTCGATGAAATTCGGTAAGCACTAAAGACATAACATCGGCTACTAAGTAGTTGAGCAATGTAAAGATCTCAGTACCATAGGAGCTCACTCCCAGCCTGAATAGCTTGGTGGCAACATTTCAGACAGTTAAATAGGGTGACCAGGGTTACAACCCATTAAACAGCATTAGTTCATTCACAAGTATAGGTATACCTTGGATAACGAGTGCCAATTAACATAAAACCTACATCCAAAGTTTCCGGACGATCACCTCCAACTATGGCTAACATCAGTGAGCAAATTATAAAACAATTTTTTTATTATTTGGAACTATTCAACGAAGTGCACCCACAGTTACCTAACACAAGATAGAAATCAAGACTTTTAAGCCTCTCACAAGAAGCATAAAACCATTCAACTGATCATCAATTAGAATTAAATCGTTCACACTTTTATATTCAGCCAATTCATGACATTGGACAATCTTTATTCAATGTCACCAGTGAGATACAAACTCATTGCCGACTAGGTTGCCGTCACAGAATACTACATAAAGTATGATGATTGATTTCCAGAGTAAAACGCATTTTTAGAGGACTGATCATATATATGTATGATTATATATATGTTACACTAGTAAGTATATTTAATTAACTAGAAAAAGATCTGTTATGTGAAAGCTAGTGACACGACTAGATTACTACTACTACAACTCCAAAACAAAAGTAGATCTGTGTTCGAATTTGCGACTCATTGATTGAAAACAGAGTACTTTCTAATCAGAAAGTAACCAGTCCTCGAGAATAAAGGATGTTTCCACTTGGAAATAAAAACATGATAGTTGATCCATAATTATCAATATGAGGGTTTGTGGAGATTGTTCAACGTTAATGAGATTAAGAACAAAGTTAACTTAAAAAATTACTCGAAATGGGAAAGTACTGGATAGCTGTATCCTTCAAAGGTGTGACTCATCAGCAGTACATATCCACGACCACATCATAGATCGAACTCAAGACCACCAACTTTTACAATAAGAACTTAAACGTTTGGGTCGCTGAGCCAGTGGTATGCAATAATTTAAATGTCAAAAACTTTAATCAATTTGTAATATTGCACAACCATTTTCCATTGCTTTCGATGAGTAATATCCTCGAATACGGAATGCGTGCTGCTGGGTCCTATACAATACAGAAACCACCATCTATCTAATCATTCCTAGTTTTAAATATTTATTTAACTAAGATTTATTTTATTTTATTTTAACACAAATATTGGTACAAAGGGGCACGAAGTACATATAAGCCACACAAATTGTGTGAGGGCTGTGATACTAACCAGGTGCCCAAACCGAAGTAGGTGGTTTTCACACAGGGCCACACCCGGAGCCCTTGACCTAAAGATTTGATCCACAAGACAGTGGGGAATCGTAAGGAGATGCAATCTCACGGCAGCCGGTGACCAACGATTGATTCATACGCCATTTGTTCCCTCAGGATACTGGAGCCAGCTCATGTGCACCATTGGTTTGAATCAGGGTTTTCCTACTCCCCTAGGCGGGCTTCCCATGTCCATCAATCCGGTTAAAGCTCCAGACATTCACTTTTTGTCCTCTCAATTTCGTAAACAACAGTAATGCCACGAGAAGGCAGTGAGTAGGACTTCCCTGACAGAGGCTATATACGCGTGTTTATATGAGAGCATTTCGAGAGGGAGGGCGGACTCTCCCAATTCTTGGCCGTACTGATGGATTTGGAAGCTAACTAGGATTAGTCCGTGATGTTAATATACAATAATCTATACTTATCAACTATGATAATAAAACTATTAAGTATCATGTATAATAACGTCAGCATAAGATTATATAGATATGTTTTTTTGTTCTAATATTTAACAAATGAGTGAGAACATGATACATATGATCCGTTCACTAGTTAACAGAGTGTGCTTTCACTACAACTTAGAATAATGATTTTTTTTCAATACCAAAAAAATCAAATAAAAGCCAAAATGAGATTAAGTATAATAAAAACTGATTAAAATATGTTCTTTTTAATTTATTTTAATATGACCTTAATTTTATTAGTATAAAGCTGTGGAGATTATAATGTTTTTGATTGAGATTATGAACCGGTTGATGTTAGACCACCATTAGAAACCTGGAAGCAATGGACGGCTGCTTCGTCCTATTGTGGGACTACTCCACAGTAGTGCGAATTAACGATCCCTCACACGGGATTCGAACCCAGGGCTTTCGGTCTCGCACGCGAACACTTAACCTTTAGACCACTGAGCTGGTGTCTAATGATGTTAATGTCTAATCTCAACCAATCGACAAAATTGTACGACCATCTCCCATTGTCTGAGGTAGATACCTGTCTCTAACTGACAAGGATTGGCTCAACTGGTCACCTCTTTCTCACCAGAACTTCGAGAATTCCCTCACGAAGCTAGTCACTCGTGAGCACATGATAGTTATCAGTATAGGGTTGTGGAGATTATGATGTTTTTGATTGAGATGATGAACATTTTATGATTGACAACTGATACAAATTGATTTAAACATTCACTAAATGTAGTTTAATGACACCAGGTGGCACATCGGCGATGGCTGTTAGTGCTAGCCAGAAACAGGTTGTGGTCTGCGCACAGTTGCAGTAGACGGTCCCCGTTATCTGACCTGCGACTAACAAGTCATCATCGGCCACCTAAACAACTCTCTTCTGTGTCTAAATACCCGACCTGAGCATTCGAATCTCCGGCTAGTACTACAATATCTGTCGGACACACTTTCTGAAGAAGAACAGTTAACGGAAGACCATGCGTACCATTGATTTAGAATCAGAATTTTCCAACTCCCCTAGGTGGATCCTCCATATCCACCAACCCGGTTAAAGCGTCGGACATTCGCTTTTCATCCTGTCAATTTCGTAAACAACACCCCCACCACGAGAAGGAAGTGAGTAGGACTTCTCTACTACTACATATGTAATATGAGTTCGTTTTGATCTTGTCCTGAAATTAATATACTGTTTACTCAGTTTGTCAAATTTAATTGAATTCATTGACATAAGAACTTGATAGATACATGAATAGGTGTGATTTATGAAAGAAACAAATTGCTTATTTGGAAACAAATACATTCAATTGGTCTGAATGAAAGACAGTTTTATTATAATCGACATGCGACAAACAATATGATCCAACTGTTCTGCGTTCAAAAGTTAAAATCGAGTTAATGTACTCGACTTGAAGCTACAGTTTGTGTGTAAGGGCTAGTGATACTATCCAGCCATTTAAGCCGAAGTTGATCAAGCAAAACTTAAACTTGGGATCTAGTGGTTGGAAGTTGAATGCCTTAACCACTAACAAACATACTTCTCCTCATAAAAAAAAACAATTATTGAATTTAAGATCGGACCAGCCTTAATTTGTAGGCTAATGAATTATAATAAAATTGGTATTTGGAATAGACAAATCAATATCCAATTGTTCATGGCTTTTTTGTCAATTATATTTCTACACCTCATATAAGAACAGAGATGAGATCAGAAACGTGAATGACAAAGGAATCGAAAGGATAGTAATATCAAGGATAGTAATTCTAAACATAAAGAACATGCTTCCAAAACAAGGAATAAGATACGAAAACAAGTGTAATCAACAATACTGGTGATTAAGGTCTGGAAGAAGACAAGGAGTCAATGCATCTCGGTCACTTGGGCCAATTTCAAATTATCCCCTAACGACTAACCACTACTATCTTGCGAACACAAACCAGGTGATAGCCAACAGCCAGAAGTACCAGTAAGATCAACAATGAAATCTCGTGGATTGTACCATGTCTAGCTTGCTTTTAATCTACTTCTATACTAGTCAACATTAAGCTTCGAGGTAAGTGGCAGTTAGAGAATAAGTAGCATGTGTCCTAGCCATCTCATTCGATGAAGATCAATTTCGAACAAAACTAATCTTTGTACAACATTAAACTATTCAACTACAATATAATTCAAAGTAACGTAGCTTTCATATGAATTTTCATTTTAAAAGAAAAAGTAAATTACCCAATACCAACAGGATATACACTTGTAGTATAATCATTATGCAAATATTCTGTAGCATCATCTCTATGATTATTTTGCAATTGAGGTGAACGATTTCTTCTTCGACCAGATCGACTTGATGCATTATTACTATTAGTATTTGTACTGGCCCCAGAGCCACCACCACCGCAAGGAGTTCGATTATGTATCCGTTGATTGCCACAGATTTGTTTCACTAAGAAACGTATTATACATACTAATAAGCATATAATTCCAATTGCTCCAATAATTCCACCTAATATTTTATACAATTGAAAATTAGATTGTTCATATGAACAATATGGGATTAGATTAGCATCAGAATCACTGTTATCACGACTCAAGTATATTTTTTCGTTGGATGCACATTCACTGCATTCAAATACTGTATCACCAGCTAAATGAATAATTAAAATGAGAGAATGTTAAGAAGAAAGTCTAACAACTTTTTTGATCCATAAAAAACAAATCTTCAAAAAAAGGAATTAACTAGTTATCAGAAGGGGTTTTGTGGAGATTTATTATTTTCATAGTTCAAAACGTGAGTCAATTGAAGCTAGACTACAATGGAAAACCTGGAAACACTAGACGGCCGTTTTGTCCTATTATGGGACTCCTTAGCAGTGCGCATCCACGATCCTAAACTCGCGAGATTCGAACCCAGGACCTATCAGTCTCGAGCCAGAGCCATCAAACGATAGACCACTGAGCCGGCATCCAACGGTGTTAATGCCTGAATTCAACTGATCCACGAAGTTGAGCAACCGTTCGCCATTTGTCCTCAGTGAGTTGATATCTCAGGACAGACCTGGATGCACACTGCTGAGGAGTCCCATAATAGGACGAAACCGCTGTCCAGTGCTTCCAGATTTTCCATGGTGGTCTAGCTTCAATTTTTAACCAGCTTTTAACTAGGAATTAACTGGTCTACAAAACGAAACTAAAACTGGGTAAATCCCGTTCTTAATTTAGACGTTTGTGAAAAAGAAACCTAGAAAAACTGAACGGTTGTTTCGTTTTAGTGTGAGACTCGTTAACAGTGCGTATTCATGAACCCGAGCTCGAACTCTTAACCTCTACACTAATGAGCTGGTATCTAACTAATATGACAGGAAGAAAAGTAGAAGAAAATTAGATTGATTTAATCATTATGATTTTTATTCAATATTAATTCAGTTTTAATTCAATATGATGATTAGTCAGTATAGTATTTGTTTTGTTTTCCTGTATGACATGCGATATTCTTGTATTAAACTAACGTGGACTATGTTAAGCATGACATACAGCACGTGATTCGCCATATATATGTGATTTCATCGTAATAGTTATTAACCAAAATGGGTGTACGAATCAATATTTGAGTGTGTTTTCGTCTAGGATGGTCGTCGTGTTTTGGGGTTGTTAATAAGCCTTCACTTGTACTAGTCTTTGTGTTCTTACTTTTGCGTCGTTGGGATTGCAGTGGTTTCTCATTTTACAAGTAATAAGCGATTCTAGCACAATAATTGGCGACGACCTGATATAACAAAGTAGCGTTCAATTGAGAAGACTAATCACTAACCGTATGATTTAAAACTATGAAATTTCTACAATATCCACGAATCCTATGTATTAAAAAATATTTTAATAATTAGGTCGGTTTGTACAATAGACCAACATCGGATAACTGGCTATTAAAAATCAAGAAGCGAATAACAGATATAACATCTCGCTATAGGGTTCATTAGTAATGAACACAGGCGAAAATATGGAAAGGATCCAAATAATGAACTTGAGGACTCCCGAGTTCGAATCCAACGAACAATATTCTTAATTTCAATAAATTAGCGTTACAGTACACAATTATTCAAAGCCTTTGGCATGGTAGTTGCCTTTTGTTATGAGAAAAGTTAACTCATCAAGACTTCATACTGGATATTCAGGAATTCATCTTAAAATTAGTTACTAATGAGCAGAAGACTGTTCGGTTGAGAGCTTTGTAGAGATTAGTTTAAAATGAAGTCATACTAGAATGAAACAGCTTTCTTTCATTCTCAGTAGTTCCACAGATGATGTCGACCACAAATGAAAGTTGTCTTACAGATAAATTGAAAGAAAGAGAAGAGCAGAGGTGAAAGAACAGCTCCTTGTGGCACACCTACAGTAGACAGTAGAGATGTTGAACACTTTCTTTCAAATAGTGTACTGTTCTCTTCCAGAAAGGTAGGAACGTAGCTAGTTGGTTATCCAGCTGTCAGTGTCGATGCTGATTAGCTTGTTAAGTAAGAGATGTCTTGGAATAGAATCAAAAGCAGAGGTAAAGTCCAGGAAAGCGCATCCAACATACTTCTTACCCTTTTCCAACCCGAATACTATATTGTAATGCAGAACAGCAACGGCATCTAATGTGCTTCTTTTGCATTTGTAAGCAAACTGATATGGATCACAGTGCTCTTTTATTGCAGGTTGAAGTGGTTGTATCAGTAATTTTTCCATTATTTTGAGGAAAGGTGAGGTTATTGCTATGGGTCTAAGTTTCACATTTTTATCACCAGAAACTTTCTTTGGTATAGGGATTATCTTTATCTTTCTCCACGTTTTCGGTAAGACATTAGTTGAGAAGGATCTGTTAAAGATATTCGTTAATGGATAACATAAAACATCATCGCATTTTTAAAAAAGGAGGTTTGGGATACCATCAGATCCTAAACATTGGGATGAATTCAGAGACTGGAGACATTTCCGTACATCATTTTCAGTGAAACTGGGGACACAATTATTCTTCAAACCATTGGATATAGGGAGCATGATGTCAGATGACTGACGAATAAAGGACTTATTTAAGTCACAAGCATTCAGCTGGTTATCGCTTCTAGTCTGCCTGTCCCCTGTAATTTCTTTAAAAAGTTTCCACATACTTGGAGAGCTTTTACAAGATAGGAGTTTCTGAGTAAACACAGAGTTGAGACGTCTAATCTCTAGGCTTATTTGACCATTTAACTTACGAACTTCAATAGTGTTTTTCTCATTGTACATCCTGTCTTTTATCCTCCGTAGTCGTTTTAGTTGTGGAAATGTAAGTCGATCAAAACTTAAAAAGGTTTCGGTCAGTCAGTCAGTCATTCACAACGTAGAACTTCGTACGTACGTACATCAGTTCGAGTTGCCATACCACATTAGCACAGAGATGCAGTTGTCGATTCAATTCCCATAGTGGTAGAAGTAGTAGGAGTATAATCAGAAATCCAAAAGATTAGGGTTTGAAGAAATTATTGAAGGAGTATAGTACAGTGAAATAAATTTGGAAAGAGAAAAACATAAAGACATGAGGAATTCAGAAGATTAGAATTTGGTAGAACACAAAGAGTGGATGCATCTTCGCCATTGCAAACGATTTTGAGCCATGTCATTCAAGGTCTCTAACCATCGGTTGCTGTCATCTCGCGAATCCCAACCAGGTAGTCTACACCTACCAACATGGCCCAGTCCACTTGTCAGTGACTTCATTGATTTGTGCCACGTTTTGGTCTGGCCACCCCTAGCTTTCTTCCAACCTACTCCTACACCATGAAACATTGCACGTCGGGGCAGTCGGTGGTCGGGCATACGTAACACATGTCCCAGCCATCTCAACTGATGAAGTTTCACTACTTCATCAATCGATTTGCCATCCCTACCTAGCACTCGTTTCCTAACAACTGCATTACTTACCCGGTGGTCCCAGGATATACGAGCAATGCTTCGAAGACACCTATGATCGAACACTAGTAGCCTACGAATATCCTATACTCTTATTGGCCATGTTTCACTGCCATAAAGTAGGACGGAACGGACTGCTGCACAGTAAACCCGTCCTTTGGTTGCTAGACGGATATCTCGCCTACTCCATAAATGACGCAAGTTGGCGAAAGCTAGACGAGCCTTCTGTATCCGTGCTGAGATTTCGTCACATACCAGACCACAAGGGCTGATGAGACTCCCAAGATAAGTGAAGTGGTCTACACGCTCAACTACTTCACTCCCTATCATTAGTTCAGGTGTCGATGCAACCCAATCCTGAAGTAACATTTTGCACTTCGAGGGAGAGAATCGCATCCCGAACATGCCTGCACAGTTGCTTATAGTGGTCAGAAGACTCTGCATGTTGCCAGCGTCTTCACCGAGTAAAACTATGTCGTCGGCGTATTCTAAGTCAACAAGTGAGCCTCCTGGTAAAAGTTAAACTCCTGGAGGTTTAGCTGATGAAAGTGCTATCTCTAAAAGTATGTCAATGACAAAGTTAAACAAGAATGGGGAGAGTGGACAGCCCTGACGAACGCCACTTGTGGTAATCAGTTCTGATGACAGTTCGCCATAGGCTCTAACTCGACCAGTTGTGTTCGAGTAGAGAGCCTTTATGAGGTTAATGTACTTCTTTCGTACTCCTTTCAGTGACAAACATTGCCATGGAACCTCACGATCAACAGAGTCAAATGCCGCCTTAAGGTCAAGAAATACTACTATTGTGGGACGTCTGAATTTGTGTCTATGTTCTAGAACCTGACGTAGGGTGAATATCTGGTCTATGCAACCACGTCCAGGTCGAAAACCAGCTTGGTTTTCTCTAGTCTGCTCTTCACGAGCTTTGGTTAGGCGACCTAGTATTATTGAAGCTAATATTTTAGACACTATATTAGTCAAACTGATCCCTCTGTGATTGTCACAAGAGGACTTTTGTCCTTTCTTATAGACTGGCACAATCAGTGATTGGGACCAGTCAGATGGAATTATGTCCAGTTCCCAGATTCTACCTAAGACCTCAGTCAATCTCACTGCTAGTACTGGACCACCATCCTTAAAAATCTCAGGGGTCAACCTGTCAGGGCCTGCTGCTCTCCCTCGCTTCAGATTTCCTATAGCTTTTTCAACCTCACAGAGGGTTGGAGGACTTACATCAATTTACCATTCAGGACGACTGGGGATCGTGGGTAATTGAAGTGTGGCTGAAGGCCAGTTGAACTGATCCCTAAAGTGTTCTGCCCATCGATCCAATCTCCTGGATTGAGAATGAATAATATGCCCATCTTTATCTGAGATGGTTTCACTGATATTCGGGTTCCTAATACCGGTTTCTTTAACGAGTCTGAATAGCTGCCTACTGTTACCTATTGCCGCTGCCTTTTCCATCTCTCTTGCTTTCGCTACCCACCACTGTTCACGATCATTACGTAGGCTTCTTATAAGCCTGCGCTTAAGTTGACTCCGCTCTTCGTTATGCTCAGAGCCAGGTGGGATGAGTTTACGAGCATCTATTAGTGCGGTAGATGCTGCCGAGATCCATTGTTTCTCCCTAACGTTATGGTTTACCTTATTAGCGGATATCACTGCTGTTTCCACAGCTTTTCGGATGTCATTCCACGCTGCCTCGGGGTGGACACA